GTCAGGAACCCGGAGAGACTGTGCAGACGCCCCCGGGACAGCCCCGAGAGGGCTTCCCCAAGGAAGGTTGGGGCATCCGGTTGCGATCTGGGGGACACGGAACCGATGGCTTCGGCGGTCGGTCACCTCACTGCGTCTGGGATTGTTGGCTGACTGCAGCGGTTGCTGGGTATGCCGTTAAATGGGAACAAATGTTTGGGTTTGCCTGTAACCAACGTAGAGGTGAAAATAAGGGCACAAAGGAGAGGCAAAGCAGAATTTTGACTAAGCTAGGATAGCTTTACTCGTCTGCAAGGCCAACTCTGGCTTACCTGTTTCTCAAACTTGTTTGCCTCTGGCCCACAACAATCCAAACAAGGAAGTTACAATAAAACCAGTTTAAAGGAAGAAAAAGATAAAAGATGGCAAGAACAACGGGCCAGATGGAAACGAAGGGGTCTCTCTCTCCCTCGCCAAAGGCCTGGGTGAAGAGCCAGGTCTTCTCAACAGCAGCAGAGTGGGGCCATCCAGGTCTCAGGGGGAGCCTCGTGGGTGCTGCTGTAGAGAAGGTGTGCTTCTGACATCCTAATAGATGGCATTGTTTAATCAGAGGAATTGAGTGTGCCAGCTCTGCAGGATTCAATTGGCCCGGCATACATTATGGGAGACAGGCATTCCCTCAAGTAACCAGGCCCTATGTCGTGTAGGGTATAGCGACCAGCACCTTGAATTGCACCTGGAAGCAAGCTGGCAACCAGTTCAGCTCACAAAGCAGAGGTGTTGCATGGGCATACCAAGGCATGCCCATCACTGCTGCATTCTGGACCAACTGAAGCTTCCAGGTGATCTTCAAGGGCAGCCCCATGTACAGTGCATTGCAGTAGTCAAGCCATGAGATGACCAGGGCATGAGTGACTGAAGAGCCAAATGGTGCATCAGATGTAGTTATGCAGTCTTGTTTGTTTATAAGGTAAGTGCAAATGCTACTGGGCGCAGAAATAGGACAGCAACCGTTCTAGATGAATTGGCCAGAGTCCTTGCAATGAACATGGACCAGAAGAACATAGAGAAGCAGCAGACAGTCTGGTAGTTATGCTGATTCTTCTACAAGACATAGAAGACCCACAAAATGCAGTCTTAAGTATTATTTATCCAGTATACAGGGATAGCAAAACAATGTTGGGAAACTGAGGATGGGCCAGAGTTCATTGGCCGAACATCATTTTTGTATGCAAAAGATCCTGAAATTGATCACTGCCATCAGCAGGATAGACTGGAAATCATCCAGTTTAGAGATCATGTAAACTGGAGTACTACATGAAAGAATAATGTGATGAAATGGCTGGATTTGCACATGTATTATCAGGTCAAAGACTTAACAGCTCCATTTGCACATGTAAAATTGTGTTAGTTTTAACCTGGGTTAGAATTTTTTGAGGCTTAGCATGTTGTGTGTGAAGCCAACCTGCTTGGTTAGCTTATATTTTGCCAACCCAGAAAAATGGTTTAATTTAAGCAAATTGCATGAAACTCATCTTGTATGAGGAATTTCCTATCATCCTTAACTCGTTAAAATAGGTTTTCCATCACCCATTGATCAGGGTCAAGTAAATATTTTCTTCCATATCCTTATCAAAGCAGCTGGCCTCCCGCATAGATTCATTCAGGTTACCTTACAAACACTGCCGTCATTCCATAAGGCACTATCCTCTGATTTTCTTCAGGGGATCACAAGTAGTCCATGAAACCTGGTGAAATCTCTTGCTTCTCTCATATCCCAGTAATGGTGCAGCTCTGCCTTGTTCTTGGGTGAACCCTGGGCCTAGTGCCCTATGTAACACATGTGAGTTGGCACCTCAACAATAATCCTTTACGACTAAAATTTATAATAGGTTTTGGTATTCAGGATGGGATGGGTCACCACTGTCAAAAATGATGAAAGCCAAGCTGAAGAAAAATGCTCTCTAGCTGACATGCTTCCAGTCACCACTGACCAAAATACTGCCCTGACTAACCATGCCCTTAGAATGTTGAAATTTGAGATTAACTATTTGGGATAGTTAACAATTTGGTTTAGAATATATAGGGCAGTGAATTGATGTAAAGGGTAATAAGTATTCCAGGCAATAACCTTGCTATTTGTAAGAACAATGGGGGAGACAACGAACATCTGAATTGTAACTTTCTGTTGACTAGATGGCATTCTCACCAAGCGCAGCCCTCTAGTAGAGTACTTCTCCCTGTTTAGATATTGAGGGGCATAATAAATAGCCATTGTGACTAGCTCTATTTTTCATGAAACCCTATTTTCCAAATTTTGCTCTAATTCATGAAACACTCAGAATTCTTCAGCTTCTAGGCACTCACTCTTTTCCTCCCATCTAGCCCAGAGAGGAGGTGGCATGTTATGCTAAAATGTTTTGGAAATCACAGTAAACTGTAAGAGGGTTTATCTAGTTGTGTCTGCAACTTTTTCCAGGACTGGACAGCCTTGAGCCACCATCTCATCTCTGCCCACCTTGACACAGATAGCATACCAGCTTATCAAGGAATTTCCTGCCCAAGGAGAGGACAGAATAAAACTTTTGGGTTGGATGCCTTCCAGGCATTTATTTTGAGACTAAATGTGGAAAATGTTCAAGAACAACAAAGAAATGAGACCACTAGAACTTTTCCAGCAAATCTGAAGCTCATTCCCTCTCAGTGGTTCTCTGGCACTAGCCATGGCAACCAGAATTTAAAACCTCTGCTAAGCCCTGAAGCAGTCAAGCTCATATTTGGAATGAGATGTTTTCTTGGGGAAACGAACTGGCTTGAGGTATTGGCTTCAGAGCCCCTGAGAAAGAGAGTCAGCAGACCTGACCCAAAAGACATGGGCAGACCTGATCTCTACAGGTTTCCACTGAACCCATCTTCACCTGGTGTCAAAGAACTATGGCTTTCTGATAAGCAGAGAACTTGAAACTGAGAATTTTTTATTGATTCCACAGTAGGTGCTGTATTTCTTTCCAACATTCAAATCTCAAAATGCAGGGCTCTAGGCTAAAAGTCAAGTCAAGATAGGGAGGTCCTACAGCAGGAGTAAAGGAGCTAAATCTGGAGAGAACTTCCATTAGGGAAAAGAAGCCTACTGATCTGCCAGATGACTCCCTCTTCTGTTTTTGTTCTTTTGTTGAGCATCATCATTATCTTGTGCCTTAGCCATGCATTGCATCAGAGCTTCAGGGGACAGACCATAAAATATTAAAATATGCATTTAAAAAAGCATTTAACCTTCACTGACAAATAAAATGAATGCAAAAGTAAGACCAAACAACTGAAAAAAACAGGTTGCCAACACCCATGTTTATAACTCAGAATCCAGAGACAGTATGGAGGCCTCCAAAGACAAATGTCAATTTAAATTATTGAAATCTACCCAATTCCCTTGGGAGGACCCATCAACTTTCTGTAACAATGTTTGTTGAAACAAGGAAGACAATGCATGGGGAAGAGGCTACCACAGAAGAGTGATAATCAATGGTTAATGGATTATTTTAAACTGGGTTTTTCAGGAAGCTAAGTTTCATGCCCTATAACACATTCCATAGTCTTGAAGAATACAAAGATTCCATGCTTTCTAGGTTAATTTGATATAATTTCCAAGGTACAAACTTTAAAATCTGATGTTGATATATTGTTCACATGCTACCTCCCCCCCCCCCACCTCCAACTCAGCAAGAAGTCACACCAAAATGAGTGCAAAGGAAATATCCTGCCTGGCCTTAAAATTCTCAGTAAGAATTACCCCAATCCTGTAAGTTTCTCAACTGTCTCTTGTAATCCTGGTTTGCTATTTAAAAGTGAATCAGTGTCAGATCAATATTCCCATCACCTCCCTGCCCTTTCAAGGCAGGCAGGGACATCAAGGCACAATTCCACTCACTCCAAAGCCAATGCTTGAGCTCATGCTGAAGGACACACAAGAGTTGCTCCACTGCCCCATCCTGAGCTTGGCTGTTGCCCCCTTTCAAGCTAGCAGTTAATGATAATCAGCTGGCTCACTAATAACTTCAAGGGGTTCAAAAAAAAAAAAGATGCTGGGCAGATAAGCACCATCTTTTAGAGAAGGTGTGTTGATAGAGAAATCTTTCAAGCCACTCTACTTCCCTTCTAGAATGTTCCACAGGGCCAAGGCCTGTTCAATGGCAACCTTTCCAGGAGGCATGGCCATGCACACAAACCGTCTGGTGTGTCTCAAAACAATATTTCTTTCAGGGGAAACACTTGCGATAGACACAAAAAAATCAGATGTAAAACAAGGATTCCTGAATAGGGATACCCCAAAGCGTATATGTGTATGTACAGTTCATCCTATATAACTACATTTCAATCAGTTTCTTCCAAAGGTAATGAGGCCTTGCAACCTTCTGTGCAGATCAGTCCAAAAGGCAATATCCAGACTGGAGGCTAGGAAAGGAAGCCCACTGGCTGTTCTGTTGGGCCTGAAGATTTTACCAGATGCAGGCAGACAAGATATGTTCAAGATAGTACATGTAAATGATAAAGTGTGTTATGACATAAGTTGTTTAATGAACAGCTTAAAATATGGGTAGAATTCTATAAAGCCTCAGACAAGCAGGGACTCTCTCTAAGGAACAAAGAGAAATTTGAAGTAGATTCCTCTTTAAACTATTCTGAAACACGTGCCAATGGTTCCATTTAAACACAGTGCTCTAAAAATATCCAGTTGTGTTTTTTCACATTTACTAGAAGCTTCTCTTAATGAAACTATGGTTCGTTTTGACAGTATTTGCCAAAACATTAGAAAGAACTGCATAGATAATATAGAAATAGCTGTAAACATCTGTTTAAGAATCAGAAGAATTCCTACTTTCAGCTGCATAAATTCTATGCTTCAGGGCACACAGACTTTCATTTCCAACTCTCTGGACTGAGCACCCATTAAGACTAAAATCTGAGGCCTAACTTCAGCTCTGCCACCATCAACATTTGCAGATATTTTCAAAAAACATGGTAGGTAGCCATGCATTTGAAAGGCAAGATGTTGTATCATTTGTAAACAAAACTGGTCTTCAATCCTTAAGTGCAGTCAAACTGAACGTTGACATTGGTAAGATCAAGCTACCTGAAGGCCATCTCTAGGAATGCAGGCAAAAGAGACTTCTCCCCTTTGGGTAATAAAGGAAGCAAGGGGAAGATGTGAGAGGAACTGGGAAGGAGAGAAACACGTATTTTGTTTAACCTGACAGAGGAATACTTATTTCCTAAAACATTCTTACATTAGAACCGCAAAGGAATGTATAGGAGAAGTCCACAGAGGCTGCTAATAACATAGGCCCATATACAGACTGTAATTTGTATGTAATAGCACCAATATGTTGTCCTTGAACCACCTGCAGTAACTAAACCCCCCGTCACTTCCCACAAACCAACAGGACTTCATCTGGTTGGCACTGGAGAAAGCGCTACAGCTCTATAGGGCAAAAGCACAGAGTAGAGCTGAGTCCTTCCATTGAATTACAATTAGCACAACCAGGTATCAGAACCAGCATTGGAACGACGAGGCAACCCAGGCCTGCTCCAGGCGCACCATTTTAAAAGGTTAAAAATCCATCTTGTCTAAACAAGAGACTTCCGCTTGGCACCAAGCCTCTTTGTATGGTGATGCAAATAAAACAATCTTCTGCATTCAATACTGGAGCATAATTACATCCTCGAACCTCGTTCCTGCAAAATCTGGAAAAAAAAACACAGTGAGAGATTAGATTTGACAAAATCTTCCAAGTGGATTTGTATACTAAAAATTGTTTACTTTATCTCACAACTATCCAGGATCTCATTCAAAGAAAAGTCTAAACACCAGAAGCCATCTCAAAATGTTATTAAGAAAACCCATCTAGCATTTCAGGGTAGCAGCTATTAGGGGAACAGCAGCAAATGCCTTTGATGCAAAACGCAGACCAAATTAACTCACTGCTACGAAGTGAGCAACAGATCATTCAGCCCCAGAGCACAATATATCAACCTTGAACAGTGCATCTAGAACAATTGCAACTTCTGCCACCAACATGCAATCACATAATTTTATAATAGGAACACTACATTCTGCAAGGAAAGATGTAGCTTACTGGAACTATTGGATGTCCATTCTCTCAAAGCTCATTCAAAAGTATAAAATGTGCAGTTCAAAATATTCGTTTTCATATGGCCCACTTTCAAAACTTATTTTAATTTTTACTATTAAAAATGTATCCATTCCATTCCACCATTACTTTTTTGTTCTATTCTGGGATAAATTCAATGTCCAGAAACATAAACATGTTTAAGTTTTAAAGACTTTCAGAACATCAGGGTAGGAGCCAAACAGATCTCAGGAGGAGATTATTCTAGGGGGCGGGTGCCACAAAACACTTCCTGTGACCCTAACCCTAGGTCCCAACTCTGCCCAATCTTACCGAATAGGCAGAAACTATGGGAGGTAGGCTGTCCCTCAGATAACCATGACCTTAGCCCTGTAGAGCTTTATAGGTGACAACCAGCACCTTGAATTGCACTGGGAAGCTCAATGGCAACCAGCGCAACTTGCAAACCAGTGGTGTTGTCAGGTTCAGCCTGGCTCAGCACACGCCATTCAAGCTAGGCGCCATTCCACCTAGCTAAGTTCAAATGTCCCTGGTCAGCTTCCTTGCCTCAAGCACAGGCGCTCAAAAGAGGACGCGCTAACCGCAAGTAAACTGCTGACAGGTGGTGGCAATCAGCCTGCAGCAGGATTCAATTACTTTGTAACAAGTGGGACTTCCCCCAGCCGCAGCAGGTAAGCAGCTGACAATAGAAACAAAGAGCTCCGCAGCTCAAGCCGCACTCAACTGCCCATCAAGCACAATCGTGAGTCAGCCTCATGGGACCTGCCTTGCGAGCAAGACAGCCGAAAACAAAGGACCCTGGCTGAACCTGCCATTGGACCAAGGTGGGGAGAGCCGGGGGTGGGACAAGGATGGGCAAAGGTGGGTAGGGGCAGTCAGCAGGTGGGGCTTGCTAAGCGCGGGAACAGGGAGACTATAACCCTGTGCCAAGCCAACCCTGGATTTGTTTGTAATCACCTGCATTACACCTGAGTAAATTGCTTTCGTAGGAGCCTGAGTCTCACGGAATCTTTATTTGGTGATGAATGCGGCAACTCTTACATAAAGCCAGGGTCCACCACTGAGCTCTACCCGGGGAACGCACCGAGGAGCGCTCACCTTCTTCCACTACCAAGCCACAAGAGGACCCGATTGGCTTCGCCAGGAGATGGCCAGCGACGGGGAGGGCACGAGCTCGCGGAGCAGCGAGGAGCCCGGACTGGAGGTCGCAGCGGCAGGACCAGTCCCGAGCGAGGGGAGAAGACCAGCACCCATGGTCATGTCGCAGGATGCCAGGTGGTCGTTTAGCGTGGGAATGGGCATCAAGCACTCGACGGGATGAGGAGTCGCGATGAGTTGCTGCTCAGGGCCCCGGAGCTGGGAGCTGGAAGAGAGGATGGCCAGGATGGAGAGCTGCATCAAGCAACTGACAGCCACGCAGGGCGTGGTGCGAACCTGACTGAGGGACTCCAGAGGGAGAGCAACCGATACCAACCCTATACCCCAGACGTTGCCAGGAGCGAGTCTGAGGGAGCAGCAGGTGGCGGATGCACTCAGGTTCTGAGGCCTGAGCAGTAAGTTCTTGGGGGACCCTGAGCAACTACCCTGCTTCCTCACCCAAGTGAGGAACTTCATGAGCAGGAGTGGCCACCTCTTCTCCCACGGCTGAGAAAGGGTCGCATACGTGGCTGACCTGCTGGAGGGGTGGGCAGCCGGGTGGGTTGTCTGGCTGTATGACGCGAATGTGGCGGAGCTCGAATGTTTCCCAGATTTCATAAAGGCGCTCTGGGGCCGCTTTGAAGATACGCTGAGTGCGAGGCGGGCGCGAGAGGAGATTCGTCGGCTGCGCCAGGGGGAGAAATTGGTCGTAGAATATGGCCTGGAGTTCTGGTGCCTCGCCAAGAAACTTACTGACTGGCCAGTCGCTGAAAATCGAGTATTTCCAGAACAGTCTCCACCCGGAGATTTCTAGAGCGGGCACTCGGTTGCGACAACCCCAAGATGTTGAGATAGTGGATCTGGCTGACCGGGATGGCGGAGGTCGCGTGGCAGCGGATCAAGAGGAGGGCCCACATTCAGAAGCCAGCTAACCCCGAACTGGATGAGGTGGCCCTGGAGGAGAGAAGTGGGAGCTGACAACAGAGCGCCAGGGACCAGGACGCACGACGGAGAGTGGGGCTCTGTTATTAGTGCAGGGCAAGAGGCCACCGGATGGCACAGTTCCTGTCTGAGGACAGACCCCCACCCTGTACCAAGGCGGGCCCACCAAGACTACCAGGTCCCCGAGCCCCACCTCGACCCCGCAAGGGAGTGATGGCTGGCACGGCGGAGCAAGGTGAGACTGGATGGTCCCCCTCTGAGTCCAGGTCGTCCGGAGAGGAAGCTAAGCCGGTGGGAAACAAGCGGCGCTCGCACTGAACAATGTCCTAGTTCAGGCAGAAATGGTGAGATGTGAGGACCCACTGATAGGCAGGGATTGCCCTCCCATGTGGATAAAGGTCCACCTCCGTGGGGTGAGGTCGGGTGCAGGGGCTAGCCTGGAAGCCTTACTAGATTCTGGCTGTACCTGTTGTCTCATACACCCTATGATGGTGTTGGGACTAGGACTCCGAGTACGGAGACTCAAAGAGCCCATAGCGTTGAGTCAGATGGACAGCTTGATCATAGGAGGGGGACCGGCACAGTACTACACAGAATCGGTTGAGATGACAATTGGGAGCCACTGTGAGGAGCTGCGCTTCGTGGTGTTCCTGATGGCGGACTACACCTTGGTGCTGGGCTTAGCCTGGCTATGGCAGCGGAACCCTCACATCAATTGGGCGACGGAGGCGCTTGTCAGATTCAGCCAGGATGGCATGGCATGGCGAAGCACTGCTTAGCCACGCCTAGTCAATTTCACCGCCCGGGCGCTAGCCAAGGAAAAGGGAAAGTGAAAACCGCGAACTGATTATGGCCAGGTGGCGACGCTTAACTCAAAACTGCAAGCGGATACTTTGTATCAGCACGGTTTCCCCCTCGGGCGCTGCAAACAAAGGAAAGCACAGAGGCTCAGAAGCAAAGCAATCAACGAACGATCGAGAACTCCCGGCTTTGTGCACAAACAGGCAAACCCAACAAAGGCAACAACAGCACAACCCATAGACTGCAATCAGAA